TTCGCAAAGCGAATTTTTCCCCATTAAAAAAACGTTGAGCGATCGCATTAGCGATCCGAAAAAATTGATCGCTATGCGATTTCATCGTTATACGGTGTGCTCGTTAAGCGAGGCACCACTGTATTCTCTGCAGCCAAAGATGGAGAAGTTCTATACAGTCAGCAAAAACAAGACGTGGAGCTGCCACGAAATTAAGACTCCTGCTTCTTGGGAGGAAAGCAATGACAAACCTAGACAGCATCTTAAAAAGCAGAGACATCACCTTGCCGACAAAGGTCCACATAGTCAAAGCTATGGTTTTTCCAGTAACAATGTAAATGGGAGTGAGAGCTGGACCATAAAGAAGGCTGACTTCCAAAGAATGGATGCTTTTGAATTGTGGTGCTGGAGGAGGCTCTTGAGAGTCCCCTGGACTGCAAGGGAATCAAACCTATCCATTCTAAAGGAAATCAAGCCTGAGTGCTCACTGGAAGGACAGATCCTGAAGCTGAGGCTCCAGTACTTTGGCCATCTCATGAGAAGAGAAGACTCCATGGAAAAGACCCTGATGTTAGGAAAGTGTAAAGGCAAGAGGAGAAGTGTAAAGGCAAGAGATGGTTGGACAGCATCACTGAAGCTACCAACATGAGTTTGACACAACTCCGGGAGGCGGTGGAGGATCGGAGGGCCTGGTGTGCTCTGGTCCATGGGGAAACGAGTAAATACGAACAACGTCGAGCATACCATTACAGGGCAGTGATAATTATTAATCATGTGCTAAAACTTTTTATTAAATAAAGGTCTGCAGTCCTTGCGACGTGACCCCAGTCGGTCTCCGTATTTGAGCCACCCTCCTGCGGGACGAACGGCCCCTATTGCGGGGCCTACAATGCTGTGGCAACGTCTATGGTCCGATGCGTCCATACACGGCAGGGGGCGCCCGAAGGAGGTACAGTAGGAAGAATTTTGAAGGTTCGCCCAGCCCGAGTGCAAAGTGGAGGCGTTCGAGACCCGTGTAGGTCGCTGTTGCCATGGCGACCAGCAATGTACGTCGTATGTCCTTAACCGCCGCCCCCCCATTCCCACAGGGCGGAATCGAGAAGTGATGCTACACTATGCAAGGCGATACGGTACCCGGCATGCTTCACGCCGAAGGTGCCGGAAGTGACTGTGCATTTCCGGCGGCCCGGCCTCACTGTTTCTGTTGCGCTTCAGAGTCACCGCGCGGTCTTTCCCGCTGACACCCTCCCCTCACCCGGCCCGGCCATGAAGGACGTACCGGGTTACCTACAGCAGAGCCAAAGCTCGGGGCCCGGCCAGGCCGCCGTGTGGCACCGCCTGGAGGAGCTCTACAACAAAAAGTGAGCCGGCGGGGAGGGCTGGCCGGGAGCCGCGGCCGCAGAGGGAGGGAGGGAGGGAGGGAAGG